AGAAGTGAAACATTTTCAAGGAAAAATCTAGTTGCCTTTTGGAAAAAGCAGCTTTGGGATATTGAATCTAAGATAATCTAAAATGTTTTGATGTTGATGTATGAGGAAGTAACCATTTATCCCTTGAAGGTACTGTTATCTGCTATAGAATTTCCTGGGAGGCTGAAATGTCCTAATATTATTTTGTCCTTGTTTTGAATATAGCTGTCAAACTTTAATGTTTGTTTCATTTATCTTAAATAGAATCCAAGGAACATTTCTGTCACATGACAATGTCTATCACAGTGGAAGAACATGGTAGGATAGAAGTTATTGAGATCATTTAATAAGACATTTATTTCTAGGGTCCAATTTATTAAAATGTCATAACAGAATCCCAAGTAAAAGAGGAGGTTCAGGGGCGAGGGTTAAGAAAATGTTTTTCTAGCTCAGCCATGAAGTATTTGGTATATTTAGGAGCTGTATATGCCATTGCTATGTCTCTGACTTGCAGATACAAAGGCAAAATAATTATGGGCAAATAATCACGCTATATACTATGTTGGCATCAATTATGATGCTATTGATTGCTTGAAATCCATGTTTTTGGGAAATTTTGATATATAATGTTTCAATATCAACTATGACTAAATTGTATTTATGAAAAAGAATACAGGTAATGCTCAACTTATAACAGTTCATTTAGTGACCGTTCAAAGTTACAATAGTAACTTTGTGACTTATGACCATTTTTCACACTTATGACCATTACAGCATCCCCATGGTCATGTGATCAAAATCAATGGGGAAGCCAGATTCACTTAACAACTGTGTTGCCAACTTAACAATTTCAGTGATTCACTTAACAAGTGCAGCAAGAAAGATCATAAAATGGAGCAAAACTCATTTAAATGTTTCACTTGACAACAGGAACTTTGGGCTGAATTGTCATAATTTAAGGACTATCTGTGGTAGTTTGATATGTGCAGTACTATCTATATCTATCTATCTATCTATCTATCTATCTATCTATCTATCTATCTATCTATCTATCTATCTATCTGAATGCCTGTATTAAACGCCTGATTTCATAAATTGTAGAGAACTATAACTACAAGATAAGATTTGGCAGAAAATAAAACCCCAAACCTGCAAATTCCAGCCTAGACATTTTATCTCTTTCTATGGAATAAAAGTCTTCTGAATAAAATACCCTTCCACTTTGATTATCTGGATTCTCCCATTTTCAAGGAGGTTACAAGGGCAAACCACGTCCTTTTTCAGCCTCAGTTCACATGTCACCTTATCCTCTGTTTGTTTTAAAACTTTAACCCCTAGAGAGGTAACCCAATTTGCATGTGACCATGGGACAAGTCTCAGCCTTGTGGAGATGTATAATATGTACAGTGTGATTAAGCCTATATCCAGCAGTCAGAGAAAGAAGCACATTCACATCAATGGAAAAATGGAAAGAGAAATGTTAGGGCAAATAATTATAGACCACTATAATCTGTTGAAAAGGATAGATGCTTTTAAACTTACCCTGAAGATTAGCTCTTGTGGGATAGGGCATTTTGCCTTGAGAATTTTAACATGTTTTGTAACATTTTTTATCCATCCGAGTCCTCCTTTTCCCTTTCAAGTGGAATTGTTTCTTTACTTTAGAACATCTCTGTTCTGTTTGTTTTCTTTCTACTCCCCCCCCCCGCTTTCTTTCTGCTAGAAAAAGAAATTGTGCACATTTCTGTATGTAAGAATTATGTGCATACGAGAGAGAGAGAGAGAGAGAGAGAGAGAGAGAGAGAGAATGGTTGTCAAATAGAAGATGAATTAATTTTATAAAAAGGCACTTTTTAACTACAGGTTAATTATAATCAATTATTCATTTTTTCCTCTCTGGCCCTGTCCTTTTCTAGAATGTAATTTTTGCAGACATATGTAAAACAAACATACAAATATGATATATGTGTTAAGTGTCAACACATTTACTGGATAAAGAAAATCTCAGCGATTTGTTTCAGCTGGAATTAGCAACCTAGATTGTAGAGATGGATACTGTGCAGAATTGTGTGTGTGTGTGTGTGTGTGTGTGCGCGCACACACACATGTGTGATTGGTGAGATGGTTAATTCACGGTCATCTTTCTTTCAGGTACTCTGTTAACCACAGAATTTGAGAGGTAGATTGAGCAACACCCTCCCCCCCAAAAGCTAAAATAACCGATAAGAGAGCACAGTTCTTGCTGAATGTAGCAGTGGTAGCTGTCTCCCTCCCACTCCTTTGCTATTTGTGAACACTTGTGTTGCCTAAACTCTCTCTCTCTCTCTCTTTCAGTTCCTAACACCTACTAGGCATCCAGATTCAGTGTCTGCATACACCAACTGCTGAGTTTATATTCTATCTGGATCTTCCCTTATTCTCCACCAGCTGCTCTTCCGCTGGACCTTCTTTCTTCCTCCCTTTGTCTGTACAAGAGTGGAGGCTCCTCTCTTAAATAAATGTCCCCAGGTTCTATCGGCAGCTAATCCTTTTTCAGGAATGCTGATTTATTTGCTGGTAGCAAGGTGCTCTGAGGGCCACGGGAAAAAGGCATCCTGTCATTTTTGTACGTTTTTCTAGATATGTGCTTTTCCTGGTAGCTGTGATTGCTAAGATACCAGCATAACAGCACTATCACTACTTCCTTCCTCAGCCTTATTAGGTTGCCCTTATGTCCATACTGGGATTTCACTCACTGATAATTGATTTGTTAACTGAATTGAAATACAGTGCAGATCTGGTGCAGTTTATAAGTACAGTGTTGTTGTGAATGCCAGCCAACGTAAAAAGTAACATAGGGAACTGTTAAATAAACCAAGACTTTTAGTCACTTCAGAAGGAAAACATAATTTCTATCTTTTTAAAGGAATCAGAAAGTTGAAAATTGCCTGTGTCGTTTATAGTTCCATCTTGTTTTCAGTGATTAATCAATTAAGTATAAATTAAAGCAAAAAGTGGATATTGGAAGTTAAGACGTTCTGTGTGAAAGTGGGAATTTGGCTGGAGCAATGCATGCATTATAGCAGACATATTATTTATTTGCAGGATATGAAGTATAGGAGTGAGCAAAGCATACTACCTAATGATATTCCCCCAAAAAGAAAGTCATCAGTGTCTGTGTGGAGGGCTCTGCTATTGAGTAGAAAACTTTCTCAGAGATTGTGAGTTTTGGGAAGAGACATTTGCAGTTCTCTTTCTGTGTCTTTGAAGGGAAAAATCTTATGGCTGATTGGTGACACGGTTTCCCGGATATGGCAGAAATATAGCTCAAAACAATAAAGTTACATTAAGATTACCATTAAAACAAACTAAGATACATAAATCTCTAGCATACTAGAGGAAAAACTGACCAAGGATCAGATAGATATAAGGGCTACTGTATTTAATCAAGGCACATATTGGTGCAGTTGCCTATTAGTAGAGTATCAGCACAGCAAAACAACTGAATAATGTTGCAGGCATGATGCGTTTGTCCCTTGTTATGTTGTTCTTTTGCCCTATCAGAGCCTTTCAAACTCGGTTGAAGTGCATATATCTATCTCACTTGATAAGTATGCTGGTGTGAGGAGACTGTAATTATGATAAAATCCACAGACTGGAGTGTGCTAATTTGGGCGAGATGCTGGTGGTTATTTCAATTTTAATGTATTGTAATTCAACTTATAAATAAATTCAAATTCCATTTCTTGTCTTGTTCCTCTACACTTATTTTAGATTGTAGAATTTTAGATCACATATGTCCTGAGCCCAGAATACATCTTAAATTCTTATATTCAGTTAATATGATGGTGAATTTTGGAGAAATTACACAGGTATTCTCAAAGGTGCTTTTTCTAGTGGCAACTGGACTTTCTGTTTTTTCTCTGAAGACATTTCACTTCTTATCCAGGAAGCTTCTTCAGCTCTTCTCTTGGATAAGAAGCAAAATATCTTTAAAGAAAAAACAGAAAGTCCAGTTGATTCTTGAAAAAGCACCTTTTTGGACAGCCATGACGGGGATGACTGAGAATCTCCTTAGACATATATTGGTAGTCATTCTCTGAACAATCAATTTTTCTCCTGGATTTGAGAGATGTTGGAAAGACTTGTATCATGCATTTTTACTTGTGTTGGTAAGTGATTTCTTTTGCAAATAACTGGATTTTTATAGACGGTAACACCGAGTTTTAAAAACAATACAGTAAAGGTGTTGGGCTAGGACCAGGAAGATCCTAATTTAAATTCTCCCTCAATCATAGAAGGTGATTTGGTTGTGGGGTGGGGAAAGTTTTGGAAAAGGGTGTGCTAACTGCATGTATTTCTTTGAGCACCTGAAAAACATTAGTGAGAATATAAATCTAACAAAATAAATCAACGGGAAAAGGTCACAGGGCAGTGATTAAAAGCCCCAAGTATCATGTCTGTAGGTGTGATCTTTCAGTGCTTGGAGCTTTAGGAACTGTTTGGAGACTACCAAAGGATGCACCTTTAGTGGGACCTATGGAATGAGCAGCCACTGGATATTGTTAGTCAACAAATAAATCCTTTGAAATAACCTATTCAGAGGGACTGAGACAGGCGATTTCAAAACACTAAATGCCCACTGGAATCCTTGCTGGGCTTCGGCTCTTTGTTGGGGAGCTTTTCCAGGGAAGGACATCTGATTGGCCAGATTCGGAGCTGGACTTCAAGAACTTTTGACTGCCACCGCTGCTTCTCTGAGCGACATTTGATTTCCACGACAGGCTACTAAGGCGGTTGGTTGTCTAACGCGGGGATCCTGATCTGTCTCACACATATACACACTCAGACATATCCACCGACCGCGTCCCCTTTGCAGCTCCGCGCCCTCGTCTTGGTGGGGGAAGAAGAAGGGAATAACCAGCGGGGATTCAGCGGAGCCGGAGGGGAGAGACAGAGGTGGGGAGAGAAAGAGCGAAGTAGGATGGGAAGCTCGAGGGGCTGAGAGATTGCTGCGCGCGCACTCGCATACAAAGGAGAGAAGGAGGAAACAAGCAGTGCCGCGCTTTGTGTGCTGAGGGGGGCGAAGCGCCGGGGTCTCCCACTTTCCTTGGAAGCAGTAGCGAGCAGAGGTGCGCCGAGAGATCGGCCTCGTTGGGACAGTTGGGGTCTCGGCGCGCAGCGACGCCCTTTGGTAAGTAGCGAATGTCCGATTACCGCGGCCAGATGCTCTGGGCTGACGGGCGCGGCGGATGCAGAGAGGGCAAGATGCAAAAGAGGCCTTGTTTGGGGCTGGTGGGTCAGAAGGCTTGCCAGGTAGGCTCTAGGTTTCAGGATAGAGAGCGGACCCGCAACTTTGGCTTCGTTCGCCTGCTTGCGTGCACTGGCGCAAAGAGGTGTGCCTACTGGTGCGCTGTGGAGAAGGAGAAGGATGGGAGAGGTGCTAGGCTAAGAATAACTGTTGCATTTGTGCTTTCAAAGCGAAGAGATGGCGGCATTCCGGCTGCTGAGCCTTGCGCTTCTTGAATGACTTGTAAAGTGCTCGGTGCTGTGCAAAAACCCGACGTTCACGCTAAGATTTAGGGTCCAGAGGGTCCTTATCTCGGGAAGCGAAGCGTCTAAGTCAGATGAATGACGGTGTGGATAACAGGGGGCACCACATCAAAAGTAGGTTCCTGGGCTTTCTGAGACTTGATCTCGTTATATTTCTGTTTTGGCTATACTTGAAGAAAAATATCGGTGGGAATTTTGCTGTAGTTTGGTGATTCGGATACAGAATCTGCTCAGGCTTGTCTTGAGTGCTACTATTTGGTTCTGAACTGGAATCCCTGCTTCCCAATTCAAGCCTAGGATGGGGGAATTTGGCTGCAAACACGGTACAATACATTGAAGCACAAACTGGCCAGCCACATTTTATCCTGGTGTGTTGCACCTTCTTTTCCACTGGATTGATTTAGTAGTCAAAGAATATTTGTAAGTTTTCCCAACCACCCACATTTTTAAAACACAGGTACACAAAAGAGATCAAGTAATGGAATCTAAGATCTAAGTCAAAATACAGGCATTTAAAAATATATCCAAAAATCTGTTCAACTTCATACTATCTTTGAGGAGTCATATTGCAATTGGAATCTATGTAGAATTGCATTTCTGTTTCAAATATGTTCCAATATGTACAAAGCCAATTTGATCTAGTAGTTACAGCACCAGGCTAGAAATCAGGAAACTGAGTTCCAGTCCTGCCTTAAGCATGAAAGCCAGCTAAGTGACTTTGGAGCCTTCATTCTCTCTCAATCCAATCAATCTCAGTCCCTAGAGCAATGGTTCTCAACCTTTTCTTCACCAAAGAGCCCCTTTAAATACCTTTTGTGACCACAGACCATGGATCCCAACAATTTAAATCATAATATGTTTTTCAAGCCTTCACAGATCCCCTGTGATGTCATTGCCCCCCCCCCCCCCCCGCCATCCATGAACCATAGATTGAGAACCGTTGCCCTAGTGAATTCCCTTGTTTCCTAGAGAGCATGGGAGCAAATCCACACTCACTAGGATTGATGGCATTACCTAGTTGGGTAATGAAACATCTGCAAGCAAACAACCAAGTTTAGAGAACACCAAAGACTCTATAATAAGTGTTTTGTTTTTTTCTGACAAGAAGGACAACAAAGAACTGAATGTAGAGGAAAGCAAATGAAAAAAAATATGTTGACAGTTTTCAATATTTAACATAAATAACTTGATTAATCAGAGGCAATAAGCAAAAATTTTAATTTTTAACAAATTAGCAAAGAAATATTCTAACTATAAAATTAGTTTATAACTTACTTAGTTATAAATAACTTACAGAGAGATGATGTTACAGGATCCTAAAAAGATTTAGCTGCAAAAATATTTGGAAGTCAACTCTGTTTTCCAATAATCAAGGAAGAATTTAAAATACATGCTAGTGTATACATAATCTACTTTAGAATAAATGGTTCTGCAAAAGTATTATAGGAAATTGGGAGAACTCATGCGATAACACAGTTGTAATTAAAGGACAGTGTTGATGCTTAGAAGTGCTAACTTTTTTCTGTATGACATAATATTCCAAAGATTGTAGAATAAACGACTCTCATTTCTGAGGCTATGAATGGAATTCTGGAATTCAGCATTAGTGAGTTTAATTCTAATGAAAATCTGAAATGTTGCTCTCTTCGCTGGCTCCATTGGGATGTTGGGCAACATTATGGGAATCCATGGAAGAGGAAGGGAGAACCAATGATGTAATATGTCATTATGTAAGCCCCATCCCATCGGCTATCAGGGTGCAATAACATAATCACAATAGGTATGACAATTGTCATTTGAATATCATCGTGATTGGTACAGTTGCTGTAAGTAATAACACTGATGAAGCCAATTAAGTTGCTCTGGTTTATCTTTGGGTATTGCTTTTTTAGCAGGGAAGAGATAATTATTTAGATTATATAATAACCAAATGGCCTGAATCCTTAGTGAAAACAAAGAGCAGGTGCGTTCATTTGTGAATTTTATTTAGGTGAGGCATGCCTATTTCAGTTACATTTAACTGGCTTTTTTATTTGTCAGAGGTTAAGAATATGCGAAACAGTTCTAATGAAGAAAATTCAAATTCTCTGTTGACAATAAAAGTGAAAAAATAAACAAAACAGCAAAGTCCTTATTTCTTGAATCTCTCAGTGTTTCTCTCCAGTAATTGTTTCTTCTAGGAGAATGCACTTTAGTAGAAGTATCTTTAGTGAGATATTTCTTCTGCCCCCTTGTTATATAGTCCAGCTTTTTGTTGCTTCTGAATTTATTTGGTACCTTGCTTGTACCATTTATTTGGAGTTGTAACCCTTTACTTGTAAATATTTTTATCTTTTCAGGCAAATTGAATAAATGGCTAGAGAGTTAGAATAATAGCTTTTGGGCAACTTATCATATAACAGCTAAGCTCTCATTTCCTCTTTAGCCTTTCATTGACCAAACAATGGTCCTCTGTCAAAAATTGACTAGAAAAGTGATTCCTGCCAAAGAGATTGTCCCAGGGGTAACAGGGTCCTTGTGAAAGGTCAGCTTTCACTTCAGTCAAGTTTTAGCTTGGAAAGTCTCCCCTCACCCCGGACTCAAGTCACTAGAGAGATACCATGTCATGAATGTTCACAGGGAAAAATTGTTTGCTAAGCATTGTAATCTATTCAGCAATGTGTCTGCAGTGGTATTGATGGTCACTGTGTGACAGCTCATCTTATAAATTATTGAAGTAGTTACCATATATAATTTTGGATAGGCTTATCTGCAGATAAATTAGCCCTCAAAACTTGAACCAAAATACCATGAAAAATATACCTCCTGTGGATAAGCCGAACCTTTTAATTTTTGGCATAGCGACAGGTGAGAAACTGTAAATTGTTACAACATAATTTATAAAACCACATAATTTTAAGGCTGTGATGGGCTTTAAAAAAAACCTGAACTTTGGTCTACAGATAACCTGAACCCAATTTTGTGGGTGTATTTTTGAACTAATTTTTTTTGGCTTATCTGTGAGTATATTCAATACAGTATTGTTGTATGAACTAGTCCACAACACCCCTAGTTATACAACTGGGGGTATTGTAAACCTATACATGATAAGAGTGCTAGATTAGGGAATTCAACTAGTATAATTCTTGTTCTTAGGAACACAATTTGTATTTAAGCTGTTTCATAGTACTATGTGCTAGAGGCAAAGAGAAACCCTTGCAGAAAGCGTAAAAAGAACCTTCGCTAGTGAGGAACAGAAATTCTTTGGGTTATCAAGTATCTATCTCAAATGTAATAGGAACTTGAAATTTTGTACCTTCAGTTCCAGAAAAACTGTGATAATGAAGTTGTTATCTCTTCTTACTTAATGGAGAAAAGAGAAAATAAAAGAGGCTAATAGTAGCCCACATTTTCATAAAGATCATTCATTTAGTGACCATAGTTGGAGCTGGCAACTCAGTTGTTAAGCAATTGCTAAGTGAAACTGTGATTGCTTATGAATTTATTTCAACTTTCTTTTGCTTTACACACCTGCAAAGGTAGTAAATATAAGGATTTGCTGCAAAGTTACTTTTTCATCACCATTATAACTGCGAACACTCATTGTATAAGGCAGTCCCTAAATGAGGACTACCTATATAATGCCTTTAATAATAAAATGTGGATTCTGATACTTTAATTTTACAACGACAGCTAGGACTTCAAAGAGTTCAACAGAAAATGAATAATTTTCTTATAAAGAGGAAAAGCTTCAATCACTATTATCAAAATTGACTGCATTTATATCTGGTGCTAAAGCTGCATATGATAGTGAACAGACACTTCTTTTAATGAAAACCTCATTCAGACTATCCCCAATTATATAAATTGGAGAGTCCAATCTGAAATTCAAGCATATTAAATGAAAGTGAAGTATCTCTCTGCACACACACACACACACACACACACACACACGTACAAAAATACAAACAAATAGCTACCAGTTTGCCAAAATTCTCAGTAAACCCTAATTTGAGAAAAATTGACATTCAGGAACAGATCATGGAAAAAATACCATTTGTCCACATACTATTATAGATGAAATTGTTGCCAGTTACTACAAAATTTAGTGGTTATAAATCTAAAATCTGGAAAAGAGCAATTAAACTAAAAACTCTTATCTAATTATCTTCTATGTAAGACTGAAAAAAAAAGAAAAGAAAAACTACCCTTTGAGCTGAACAACACAAATGTTTTTAAGTTCTTGATAACTATGTATGTAATTGATTCCTAGGAAGTCCACAATAGCAGTTAATGAGGTGATCCAAACTCTGGAAGTTTTAAGTCAATGTGAATTCTGCAATGCATGTTAAAAAGGAGTAGGCGGTTACCTTGTTGTGCCCATAATTTTGACATCAGTGGGTGTCATTGTTTGGGTTCCATACCATACAAAAGAGAAGAAGGTCAAGAATATGAGCTAGATCCAGAAGAACAGGACAGACAATATCAAAGACATATTATAATAACATCAAATAGCAATGGTTAAGAAGAACAAGGGTAATTCAAGCCTACTTACTTGGGGATGCTACTTACATTTATATACCACTAATAGTATCCAAATGAAAACCATCTGAAAAGAGGAGTTCAGCTTAACTATTAGCCTTTGGAAAGGCACAAAGTCAG